GAGAGATTGTTCTCAAAATTTCACATTTCTCAGACAATATCTCAACCGCGGACATTATTAGCAGACACAATGGCCGCCTGAAAGGGTTTATTCACAAAATGATTATTTAACAAATAATCGAGGGGATTATTCAGTAATATTCACTGAGCCTGAGGCGAATAATTATTTCAGTATAAATACTCGGTGCTTTCTCTTGTAAATTCGTTTTCTTGTTGAAACCATTCTGTTACAATTGTTTTAATTACTTGTCTTGAAATAAGTAGCCAGTCTCTTCTAGAATTTAACAGTTTCATCTAATTCAATTAGCAGAAAGATCATATCTTTTTTTCGAAAAGTGTTATGCCAAGCTTAGTGGCGTCTTTTTTGCTATTTTCTTCTATCGTTTTTGTCACTTTCTCCGTAAACTGACAAAATGTGAAGCTGCCATTTTAAATTTAGCAGCCGTGCTGTAATCACCTCGCGCGAGGTGATTACAGTGAGATAATGCGCAATCCTAGACCAATCATGACATACCACCTTAATAATCTGTTTATAATCTGTTTGGCAACACAGCGCATCATAGTGTACATTGTTTATTTCGGTACGCCGCATAAATTTTACAAGCTAACATCTATCTTGTCTCGTCCAGGCCTCTCTCATTTCTTGCAGCTCAATGTCCACGGTGTCATGAACTTGTTCAACTTATCACTTAACCATGAAGCACTGCGCGCTCTATTTCCCGTTCAAAGGCACCTGTTGTCTAGGTGGTCTCACGGTACATCTGCGAAAGAGCTTTTTTTTTCTATAGGTAGAAACAATACTTCCGTAAAAGTGGAAATTTGTCTGCGATGTAATATGACTGATTTCGATAAGCGTCGATTCGACTAATATCCCCTCATAGCGAAGGAAAACCTTTCTTCATTTTGATCGTAGCTTCGTAAAATCCATCATTGGGAGACGTTATGGATTGCAACCGATACAATGTGTTCTTGGCCATAGTTTTGGCGGATTTTTCACCGAGTATCACCCCACAAAAATCACAGTCGTCATCTCGACGACTTATTTCAAAGAGTTTCAATTTTACACTTGCATGTCAATGTATACACTTATGACTTCTTTTAAAACAAGCTTTTGACGATGATTTTCTAATTCGGTGTATTTTGACATTAAATTGTTCATAAACGTAACCACAAATTCTGCTAACATCTTTATTAAGGGTGTGTTTGTTGAGACTTCTAAGTTCAGACCTGGACACGAATGTTCCTCGACACCGCTATTTTCACACGTTCGGTTGTCTTTGTCAATCTTGTTGAACAGGCTTTGACCAGTTGTTATCCCGCTCGGATTATTTGGATACGACAGGGTGTGACGCAGGGTGGCGTACACGTCAAACGGTGTCGTCAGTAATTTTGAATTATGGATAAAATTCTTGTATAAATTTCGATACTTCTCAGTAAACCACTTTGGTACTGTAATGCACATGAAGGGAAGTCTCTCCTTTAGCTTTCCTTGGATTGATTTTCTCACGTCAGAAAACCTAGCTCCATGGTCTCCGAATATAATCAAGAGGGTACGATTGAGAAAGGACTCTTTTTCCATGGTTTGAAAAATTGTTTTTTAAGTCATCATCGGTGTAACCAATAGTGTTCTTATCATCGTATGAGATCACCGAGTGTGTCACCAGTGAAAATTTTGGCCTGTCTTTGTAAGCACGACAGAAGCTCATCAGATACTCCAGTGAGATATTAAGGGAGGCACGGCCACCGATGTAATAACTTTTAGTGACATTTTCTGCCTCAGTCCAGAATGGTCTGGAATAATGATCTGTGGGCGGATCTTTGAAACAAATTAGACGATAACTGAATGATGCATAACGTGGAGAATCCTCGGAGAATAAAGTGTTATAACCTTGTTGTTTGAAATCTTTAAAAATCCACCTCCACTTATCAACTATGTCGGAGTCTCTCTCACTTCGTCTGGCTTCAGGCTGGTGCTTTTCAGCAATTCCAGTGAGCAATACACAAAGCTGAGCCGTCGTACCATCACCAACAATTGTCTCACCTGGAGAGACAAGTAGAAGTAGAAGTAGAAGGAGAAGTAAGAGAGAAAAGAAAGTTGTCAAGAAGAACCTGCTTGTGTGGAATTTTCCTTAAGGGACCAGACATACCACTTATTATTTATCACCTTGGTGGAAAGGTCTAAGGATCTTTTTTTTATGGGAGGGGGGATGGGGGCTGGATGGTTCTTAGGGGGAACAGTGGAGGATTCATAATTCACAAGAGTTCACATAATCTTTATAGTATAAAGTTGGGACTAGAAAATTTACTGTTAATTAACTTCCAATAATGGGAATATTACGGAGCCTTTAGGGGATCAAGTGAATTATATTGTGACCGAACCAAATTCTTCAGCCTATTCCCCCCCCCCCCCTCCCTTCCTGGTGACAGATAAAGACAGGTCCCTGAGCACTATAGAACTTCCTTCGGTGTGTCAGGTTTTGAACACGTCGACTTGTCAAGTTTAGAAGTGGTGTCATGTCCTTCCGGTTACCCTGCCGTAGAAAATTAACAAATCTTTTCCAAACTTGTTCAGAAATGCCCATTGATATAAACGTGGAAAACGCTTGTTGAGGTGAAAACAATATATATATTTTTGAAAAGAGTAGCTCTCTTTCTTTTATCGACTTTCCTGTTGAAAAGAAATTTGAAGAGATATTATAAGCAAAAATGCGAAGCGAATAACCAATCAAAGGAAATAAAAACGTTCACGACAAAAACGATAACCAACCTTGAAGTGTTGGGCATATTTCTCTGGAAGTTAGCAGCAGATGTGGAATCAAATATGATCAAAGAAATATCAAGTGGAACACCACCAGTCTTCACCAGCTTTGATAAGACTTCCTCTTTAGGTATGATCTGCATATGTACATCACTCTTTACGTCACCGGACGTCGTTACAACATCGACTCGGACAAAATCGGTTTTAACTTTTGCTTTTCAAAAAACTCCCAACAAAAAAGCAAAACATTAAGAAACATTTGATCACATTATTGCCCTGCACGAATTGTGTGAATTGAATTTTGAATGCATATGTCATTTAATCCACCGTACCAACCCCCATCACCTTGCTTAGAACATGGCAGACATGCCTCTTACTAACAGAGTTCCAAGTCCGCTCTGTAAGTTGCGGACCGAGTAGAAAAAGCGCCGTTCTGTGACTTACAGTACTGACCAAGAAAACGAGGTTAACAAGATATTCACTATATCGATCTCTAAAGAGGTTCGTTAAGTTTGTTTGAGTGCAACTTAAGCAAACTTATGAGTTTAATGAGTCATTCGGAAAAATAAAAAGCACGTGCGAACTGGGAGATATAATTAAATAAATTGTAATTGTAAAGCTTCACCCTAAACGCTACGAGGAGCCTCAGCTTCATGACATTATTTACCAGCTGTGACGATACCACAGAATTAAAATGTGTACATCATACTTACCAGAGTTAGAAGCAGCTGCTTTACTTCGAAAAAGCCAGGACCACTGAAAACGACAAGAAAGGCAACAGTAGGTTTATAAAGCTTGATTGGCCCTTTATTTCAAACCCCTACTAAGTGACTAGCGTCTAACCTCTCCTCTTTGACCACATTATCGCCCTGCACGAATCGAAAAACTTCGGATGCAAATGTCATTTAATCCACTTTACCAACCCCCATCACCTTGCTTAGCACATGGCAGACATGCCTCTTACTAACAGAGTTCCAAGTCCGTTCTGTAAGTTGCGGACCGAGTAGAAAAAGCGCCTTTGAATCAAACATTAAAGGTCATGAGAACAAAGGAGGTGATGACCAACTAAAGAAGCTCTCGATTGTCAAACAAATTCTCCTTGTCACTTACCTTGGGAAATGTGTAGATAAAAGCAGGGAGAATATAAGTACTGATGTTAGGATGTTAAGGGTTGAGCTCGATAACAGGTAACATAACATTATTTCATTACAACGATAGGAAAGTTTAATTTAACGTCTATGGATTGCAGCCTGTTTTGCACCTCAGAATACAGCTGTTTGCAGGAAGGTTTTCGGAAAAAGCGCGTGCACGCGACATAGTAAGGCACTAAAGCTCTGTGGGTAATTGGGGATTAAATTTGAGCTACTTACTAATAACTTTTATTAGGTTGATTCAGGAGCCATGACAAAAATGCAGGGCAGTTGAACGCTCCAAGCAATGGACGCTTTGTGCTACCAACAGAGCTGTGATGCCACAAGTTAGCCGGTGGGGTGAATTTAAACGGGTTCTTTGTTTCCCTTAGAGAGATCTGGTCGCATTCAATAAACATTAAATAGGTCATAATTTGACCTATAGACAAGACAACGAGTGACGAATTCATTATACTGTTTGGTACTGATAGCGCGCCGATAGGCACACAGATCTTGAAAAATGCCCCTGTGACTGATTTTGCAAGAAGACCTTCACAAGGGAGCCCCAAATTTCCTACAGCCGAGGAGAAGGAAAAGAATTCATCTTATCCATTGACTCTCAATTGAAAGATAGAGATTCCAATTCAAAATGTAACAATTTGTAATAATATTTATCTTAAGAAAGTTGCATCGTTGCGGAAGGGGACTAAGCCTTGCTAGACCCAGACCCAACAACATTCTTGGAGTTGCTCGGATCAGTCATTTTGAAAATGGCGGGTATTGTGGATGTCAGTGAGTAATGGGACATTTGATCGGAATTGTGTGACAATAAGAGTATACCACGGTTTTTAGAGGTCTAATGGCTTTAAGTCTCGCTAATAATTACCTTGAAGTTGTAGTAATTGTTGTAAATGATCGAAATGATCGCAGAAATGAGAACGTCGTGAAGTCGGAGTACGAGTCGAAACACAAGGAACAAGAGATGGAGGTGGACTCTGGCGGAGGTGAACAAGAAAGCGAACGCGTTCAGCAATCAAGCGAGGAAAATAACGTACCAGATGTATCAGAGGTGCATGTGACGCCGTGACGCTGGGGGTCGCCAGAAATGTACAAGTTCTTGGAGCGTCAGCAGTGAATTCCCCAGACGATTATTAAAAGAAGTCCTTGAAAACAACCACTAATGACATTTCTGCAAAAGATGAAGATACCAGGTCACCGATTAAATCACCCGAAAAGATGACGATGTAAGTTTTGCTCAGGCTGAGCTGCAATCAATAGATGCTAGTCTTGCGCTGCCGATCTTTGAACTGTCTGGAAAAACTTCATGCGGCTGTATACTATTCTTAATTAATTTTTGAATTTACAGTGTAGCTTTTACCTAGGTTGGTCTGTCTTTTTCTGATATGATGGCTGACTCAAGTGTGTGTGACATCATTTGTACTGTATAAGTGTAATTTTTCTTTTAGTCCCAAAGTTGTCCAATTTGGAATCGAAACAAAGTTTTCTCTTGATCGCATCGCTCTGCACTTCTGTTATTGACTCCGACTCTGTTGTAACTGAAAACCAATGTTTAGTTGGTGATCATTACCTTTACTCTTGTGACCTCAATGTTTGGTTCAGGGGTGATATTGTAGGGAGAAACTAGATGCTGGTCACTCTTGGAATTTGAAAGTAAAGTCCAATTATTACATCTCCAGGTTCAGCTTATCATGTTCTCAGTGCAGCTCAGAATCTGAGGGGGCCATCAACAGCTGCGAGAAAATCTGGGCAAAGCACCTCTAGTCAGAGGTTATTATCAAGGAAATCATATGTTCTACAAACATCTTTTCAAGATTCACAGGTACAGCTTGAAAATTGTATTTGCCACTTCTTAATACAGTAATATTCAGCTCATATTCTGATAATATAATCACCTTATATGGAAATACATTGTGCCAAGTTTTGTGAAGCTAAAACATTTGACTTTATAAAGTTCCAGATATCCAAAAATTAAGGATTTAATAACAGGCTCATATCCAATGTGCTCTTATGGAGTAATTGTTAAATATTTAATCATCATGGCTTGTTAAGTTTTGTACCTTGACTGATGTAACTTTTGTAATTTAGTATAATATGTACTAAATTGATAAAGTAAATTGGTCACCAGAATGCTGACATTTCGAGCATCAGCCCTTCATCAGAGCAATTAGAGGAATTGTGGGCTGTGTGTAGGTTTATATGCAGAAAATGGAGCTATGCTGGGATTATGGAGACAGGAAACAGGAAAACAGCCTCGTTGTTGGCTCTGCTGAATAAGTGTTTCTCCACCTGTGGGAAGATTTAAGAAGAGATTGAAAGAGGTGTGCTGCAGGTGTGGCTGACTGGTTTGGCTCAAGGCCTTAAATTTATTTGTTTGTGAAGAAACACTCGTATTGAAGTGGGTGTAGTGTGGACCCACTTATACAGTAGTGTAGGTGGAACACTTGTAGGAAAGAAAAATGTGTTTTGCCTCATATAAGTTGTCAGTTATTGTCTGTAACATTCTGAAAGCTGTTTTGTTTTGTGTCATCAGTCAATGAAAAAAAAAAGGTTAATGTTAGACTTTCTTGTGACAAAGATTTTTTGTCATTTAAGTGCTGTAGAATGAACAAACAGCTGCCTCTCCAAGTCAAGTGAGGGAAATCTGCACTTAAAAATATTAACTTTAAAAGTCAAAACTACTTGAAATGTCAGATTTAAAACTCTTAGCAGTGGCCAATTTACATTATCAACTCAGTTGATAAAATCAAAATTATCTTGTTAAACTCCCCCACAGTTTCTTTAGAAACTAACCCCTTTATTAGTAATAGTAATTTGTAGCCTTTCCACACAGTTTCAATGTTATGGGCATCTAACACTGTATTAGGTGAACATTAAAGGAAAGACAAATTCCCTTAGCAATTGCATCCATGTGAAAATGTAATTATTACAGGCATGCATGTAGGAAAGGAAGAATCAAAATATATGCATTTGTTTCAAAGTTATTGCATAATGTATTTTTTTTAAATTCATACAATTCTGGGGCATTGTTATCTTGCAGTTGATGCATGTTACAAAAATGTAGAAGGGAAATGCCTAGTTGCTTGAAGAGAGAGGTTGAATGGACACTCAAATTTACTTGGGGTTGCTTTTTCTTTTTGCAGACCTGGTGAAATTCTTGTTTGCAAACTTGAAGGAACTGGGAAAAAACACCTGGAGCTTATTTTGTCTCTCATTGTTTTACTCTTCCTGAAGGTAATTGTAATGACTGTATTAGAGAAAATGACAGATCTGTATAGGGTAAACTGTAATGTTATTTTCTTAATCATCTTTACTCAGGGAAAAAGTCGAATGCGAATTTCCTAAATTTTTTGAGGGGGTTTAATTGACTGGTATAGTTATCACTTTTGTGCATTGACTATATTCTAACAAAACCAATCCCAGAATGACAAATTAATGCCATCACCGTTGTGAGGGACATAATTATGTTATGTACAGTGTTCACATATGTGGGCAGTTAAATTTTTTTTTTTTTAAATGTGACTCTAAGTTTAGGCCCTTAATTCCTGTAGGTGGTTAACATGTACATGGTGTAAGTTCTCTTTGCAACAAACACATTAAGCCAGACCCTATTTGCACAGACAATTTATAACACATCATCATGGCTTTCATTCTCTTTTGTTTCATACTGTTTAGTGTCTTGCACCAGTTTATCCTTTTATCAACTCATAATTGTATGTTTTCACTTTGCTCCTCCAAGAAATTCTCTCAAACAAGACATTTGGTTGGACTTTCTTATCTTGTGCAGTTCATTTGTCAAATGAATGTTTACCATATGTTAATTTTTTGCTTAATCTCAAGGCTAAACTCTGATGTAATTATGTTTATGAGTTAGATAAAAGTTTAGCCAGTAAGAGTAAATAAAGTCTTTGTTGATAGAGTGTCTCCCTCATTCAAAGACACATGACTGTATAAACAGGCAAAACTGGTGGGGAAAGTGCTAGAAACTCTTTAGGTTGCTTAGGGTTCACATTATCAACTCAGTTGATAAAACCATGCAAATTACATATCTTGCAATTCTCCCCAATGATGCAGCACCACAGTTTCTTCAGAAACTTACCTTCGTCATGTGTGTGTCTGTTAAATAGTCTAACCCTTTCACTTTAAGATATTGAGATTAATACTCCTTCCCACATTCATCAACCCTTATGATTCACTTTATTGTCAATAAGCTGCTTGATAGTTATTCTGATTACCTGCCTGCTGTCCCACATTCATCAACAGCTTCTTATGATGAAAAGTCTTAGAATTTATTGTCAACTATCAGCTGCTTGATAGTTTTTGTTATTCTGATTACCTGCCTGCTGTCTTAGTAATTTGAGTATTGTTTGGCCTCTTCTAAAAGTGAAAGGGCTACATGTATGCTAAGAAAGGTTTTTGAAATTAAAGTACATGTATAACCAAAATCATTAACCTTATCTTCATGCAAAATTGCTGTAAAATATGTAAGAGTTTGTTCGAACATGATGCCAAGAGAACAGAAGTATGTGCTTGTCATGATCTTAACATTAGCGTACCTCTCAGCCATAAGATTAAACATCCTGTCCAAAAGAAAGACATTCTTAAGCAGCTACATGAATCCAGCAATGAAAAAATTGTCTACCTTTGTGTGTGGTTATTTGGATGAACCCCACCTTAGCATGCAAAATGTTTGTCTCTTGTTTATTTTTTTTTTCTCCTAGACTTTGATATGGAATGACAGCAATTGAAACCAGCTGCAGAAACTACCCAACCAAGGAAAAGAGGTGTTAGATGTTCTTCCCTTTGCTGCTAATGGAAATGACTATCTGAGCAGAAATTAAGTGTTTACAAATGGATGAATGTACAAAATTGACAAATTCTGCATTGCTCTAAGTTAGTACCTATTTTTTATATACAAATGTGTTGTATTAAATAGTATATAACATGCAAGTGAAAAGTGGTTTTCTCACCCACTGATTGGCTAGTTTGGAAAAGAACAGCACGTACTATTTAGCACCAAGTGACCAATGAGACAAAATTGCACATCAAGAATTTAATTTCTGACCATTTTTTGGTATACTAGAGAAATAAACTAATTTCTGGTATACAGTGTATGTGTGGAATATACTAAAACAATTTTTCACCTCAGCATTGGTGAAAGTGAATATTTATCTTACCGCTTTGGGGCATGGTGAATATCTACCAATATTCACCTCACTTTGATGAATAATTGTTTATTAAAATAAATATCTTTAGTTGGTAAAATAATTTTCATACTATTTAATAAAATAATGACAGAAGTAACTTATAAATTTAAAATAAGTGAATATTTTAACCTTACTGACAATTACTTTCTTCTTAATACTATAAAATGTTTCATACTTCTTTTTAAAATATATTTGAATTTATTCTTTAACTCTTAACTTGCAATATTGGACTGAAAATGAAAAGTTAAGGTTAACTTAAATGAGGAAAAAATTTTTTAGTCAACTTAGTAAATTTCCATTAACTGGTAAAAGTCAAGTTTGATACGTTTTACAGAAGTGTTTGAAAGGACAAAAAGGTACACACCTCAGTATGATAATCCTAATTTACTAACACAGGGAATAAATTCCATGTTGCTGTGGGTCTGTTCAGAAGTAGATCACAGGTAATATCAAAATGTGGTCAGAACAAATAAGTGGCACACGAGGCACAGCTGAGTGTGTCACTGATGTTCTCACCACATTTTGACATTTTCTGTGATCTATTATTGCAAAGATCCATAGCAACACGAAATCTAACTGTTTTATGTAATAATATAGCAAAATGTTGCTATTGGTGATGTCATAGACCTGTCTGTCCTCGTATAGATCATAAGTAAAAAAAACATTTAGAATGCTTGACTGTATAATTTAACTTATCATATATAATAAGAATATTTGATAATAATATTATTCCATGAGTGCATATTGGACATGAGATGGCAAATAATTTTTAAATTAAATTTCATCAAATCCTAAAGATTTGGATCTTTGAAGCTTTTTTCAGCTCTACAAGTTGAGTGAAACAACCAGAAAACTCTTGCTTCATTTGGAGTTGAAAAGTTACTGTTTGATATTTGGTATTGAGTTAAATTCATGGGTCAGCCAAGTACAACACAGAGTAGAGAATTCATGGTTAGCATTTTGAAGTGAAGCAAAGTGGTTCGAATGTCTGAATCTAAATCCTTCCGAGAGCATTATAATATTTTCCCTAAAAATAAGATTTTTGTTTGATAAAAATACAGCAAGTTTCAAGCTACGAGACTTTAACTAATATAACTAACTTTTATCCTTCGATCTCAGTAATACTGGGTCATTTGTTTTGATCCAACTTCCTTTAAAGGAATGTTAAGCCTTCAGTTAACTTACACATTGCTGTTACTCTGGTAACTAGGGCTGAAAGTAAGAGGGAGGTTTTGACCGCATAGCATCAGGCCTATTTCTGATGGAGAATCACAAATGAGGTAAAAGCTAAAACAGACATTGCAGCAGTACTGGTTCTAGAAGTAAAGGATGCTGCCGACCAACCAAAGTTTGAAATCAGAAATGCTTTTAAGCCAGCTGTAAGATTAGACTCCACAGTACCCAACTAGAATTGAAGAGCCATGAACACAGCTTAGCTATAGACATACACAGATAAATATAGGGTTTCAACTGCATTAGCCAAATACGTACTGGATGTAAAGGGAATCATTATTGTATCACAAATGCTGTAATTTCATTGGTTATGCTTTTGGCTACCAACAGTATCTATTCTAGGATAGACAAAAGAAAAAACCCAAACATGAGCCCCTCTTGTTAGTATTCTGATAGACCAGTGGAAAACTTAAACATTAAGATTGTTCGCTCTCCATTTTTGTGCATGATAGAAGCCTCTCTCTACTGATTATTTAATTAGAAAGAGGAAATGGACATCCTGGCTATGATGTATTCTGTTAAAGATCAGTAGTAATAGATTGTGCACCTCGCCTTTCTCCTATTCATAAATTTTGAGTATAGTTTTAGGTTGCGAAGAGCTCAACCTCTATTAACAATGTTTAAAATTCGTGAGAAGAAGGTTTTAAGTGAGCTTGTTTTGGAACGGTACAGAGTGTTAACAACATTTAAGGATGTACCTACACCGGTATACCACAACTTGATACTTATTTTCTTGATCCTGATTTAAAATTGTTATCGATATCGATATCGCAAATTTCCTCCTCCCAACTTAAATTCATAGTTTGGTCAAAGTAATTTAAGTCGACTACGGTAACTAGGTAGTTGTTGCACTTGATAAACTAGTGTTTTCTTGCAGTAAAAAAAATATTTCATGTTCAGTTCTATTTACTGTGACCAGTATATAATTTTCTGTTGAAACTACTGTGTTTAAATACAAAAAATACAGACAGATTTTGCCAATTACCTTTTCAAAATTTCGATTTACAAGTTTCTTATGTGATTACCCACCTCATTAGGAAAGAACCACTCTCCGGGTCATTTAGTGCAAGGCGGTCAACCACAACCTTGAGCCAGACTATTCATACTCCAGAGAAACGTCGAAAGCTAGACGTTCCCAGTGAATCCAATAAGAATTTTTATTATCCCAGTTCATAAAATTCCTGTCGTAAACATCGTTCAAGGACTCAGAGTATCTGATAATAAGCCGCCCGAAAATTTTCCGACACTATACATCGCTGCGAAACCACTCGTTATTACACCAAGTTCATTCTTCTTCAAGTAAAGGTTTCGTATTAAGGCCGGTATGGCGAATGTGTAAGACTTTCTATAAAAATAATAGAAGGAGTAACCTAAAACTAGTGAGATGTAAACCATCCATGGAATTATTTAATAACGGCGAAAGTTAGAGTCCTTCAGAGTCGCCATGTTTTTTCATGTGACAGTGTTATTTTTGTCTCGCAGCTGTTTTGGGCTCGTCACGCAACTACGTATTGGCTTGTCACGTATTATGTGTCAGGCCAAAATGAGAGCGTTGAGGAGACCTGGGAACTCTCTCTTCATCTATATCAGGTAA